AAAAAACAATTCACTAAAATCACTGTGACGATTGCTGGAACGAGATCACGTTCTATTGCAATCGCATTTATTCATCGTTTGAGTCTTGAATCATCGTCTGATTACGTCGAAGAGGAGAACGAGGAGGACAACCTGTTTCATTCTCTGCCTGTTAATCCCAGAGCAAGACAAGACAAAATCAGATCGCGTTAACTTGATCAGCAGCAGATCAGAAAGTGGAAAAATGTCGTGCTGAGTTGATTTGCTTGTTCATTTGCTCGAAAATGACAAATTCTCTGAGAATTTACCCTTAATGTGGTATGTTTGCGGTTATTAATTCAATCACTGTTCTATTCAAGCACATCCGGTGATTATGCTTTATTCATTACTATTTTATGGGATGAAATCGAGATACTTCATTCATAAAACAAATTTTTTATTCTTGTGATCATATTCATCGAATCTGCTAAATCGCACTGAATTCCTTATCGCGATCTGACCGTGAGCTCTATTCTCTCTCTGAGGATATCAATCGTGATATAAATTAATTCCGTCTGTCTGATTACTTGATTACTCACTCGAGTACTCGATAGTTTGGAGAAGAGAAGAGAGATGGGCTGTTGCCTTGGCAAGAAACCCTCAACAGTGGTTACGACGAATGGCTGTGGTGTGATCCATATACCGCAATCACTGGCCACTGCCGTCAACACAACGATGAGCAGTAATGCGGAGAGTCCGTCGAGTCCATCTCCTCCGCTCGTTATCGACACTATGCCCAAAACGGTGCCAGTTTTTGTGGCATTGTTCGATTACGAGGCACGCACCGATGACGATTTGAGTTTTAAAAAGGACGATTTGCTGTACATTTTGAACGATATGCAAGGCGATTGGTGGTATGCAAAGAGCAAATCCACCGGATTGCTTGGCTATATCCCTTCCAACTACGTCGCACCCGAGAAAAGTATTGACGCTCAACCGTACGTTATTTCTTTTATTACTATTGCTATTGCTTATTATTATTTATTATTGTTGCTATCATTATTAACTGTTAGCTTTATTTGCTCATCTTTGACATCACTTACTTCATAAAAAACTGTTCATGCTATTCAACGTCATTATCAAAAACTTGCTTAAGAAGTCCTGAATAAAACCCTGAAATAAAGCCCTGAAAGTATCAGTTCTTGAGAGGAGATCATCATGCTCTTGATGTTCATTTTTATCGATATGATCAAACTTTTGATCATCGCACTCATCGCAGTACCATCCATTGTCATTCAGTACGCTCACTAGAGCCACACCACTCTGTCGTTTTCTCAGTTGATGATTGGCTTTACCAGGCGATTTTTTTTTGTTNGTTCACTCATTCGAATGCACTTGTGGAATTCACATTTTTGGATTTACAATTGCAATTTTGTATTCAAATTTTATATTTACTTTGATTTAGACACATATTTCGATATATTCTCATGTAAAAGCGCGTTTACCTTTGCACTATTCTCTTATCGTGTTTTCATAAGTACTTGAGAATGTTTATCTGTGTCATCGAACGACGACTATTCATGTCCGAATTAGCTGTCCGCACAAAATTTCTGAATACTCTCCAGGAATTTCTTCGAATGATCGGATGATTTGATTGTGAATTTCAGTTCTTTTGAAGAACTGAAATTTCTGTTCGAAAATAGAAGTTTTCGTTGGAATTCCTTTTCCAAATTTCTGAAATTTCACAAGAACGCACTCATTCAATTGAAAAATTTCAAAATTCACGAATAGAATGTCCCAAATCTGCTGCGATCTTGATCTATTTCTTATTCATTCAGTTGTCATATGCCATCCATCCATCTCCTGAACTATTTCTTTGTTGATTGAAGAATCAGTTCCAGTCAGAAAATTCTAACGAAATTTCAAATGTTCCGTTTGAAAATTCTAAGATATCACCTAAATCTATCAGAATTTCATAGGGTATCCATGAAATTTCCTCTTAAATTTCTTCGACTTCTTTTCCAAACTTTTCGATCTCCAACAATGTACCATATTTCTCTGTTTGCATTGTTCTATTTTTTTGTCACCTTTAAACAATCACCCCAAAATTTGCAACTA